GAAGGGAATCAGGTTCTGTTAGTGGCCTAATAGTGAAATATGCCACGGGGCTTGAGCAAGGAGTGCTATGTTGATACCCAAGGCATTGACTCCCTGCCTAGCATTCCAATTAAAGGGCTACTCAGCAGATGGACTTTCACGGGAGGAAATATTACTGCGTCAACAGGGTGGTGCTTACATTACCTATTGATGTGAAGGATGCTGGAAGAAAAGCAGAAATTAAAGAGGCATCGCAAGACGAGGAACAGCCTGTTTTTGTCAGCCAAGAAACCCATATGAGTCTTAGAATTTTATATTCAAGAATTCAAACAATTTATGTTGTATGAAAGTTTTGCTGGAATCCATGCGCCAAAGCTAATGACAGGTCTTGGTAAAAGTAACTCAGCCGTTTTTGAACTAGATTACAAGGGGCAACCTGCACGTCTGCCACAGTCACCCCAGCCTCACAAGTAAACGGCAATCTGTGGAGACTTCGGCCATACTTTGGAGAATTGGCCCTATTTTTCAGAGGAGAAAACCCTCAATCAAGTCCGACAAGCCACGTAGGAAATGTCATACCCACTAATAGGAGTGAGCCATTCAATTCAGCAATCCAAATAGTTCATTGACTCTAGACATATATACTTCAAAGAGAGCTGAAGCACTCCTCGAAGCAAGAGGGCAAGCAAGGGGAAAGTACAGTACAAAGTAGTATGTAGCCATGTGCACAATAACACAGTAGCTCAAAAAAGCAGTATGTATTTACATCAACAACTCAGGAAAACAGTTCGTGAGTACAAAAAAAAAAAAAAAAAGATCCTAAGTCTGCGAAGAAGGAGTCAGAGAAGGGTTTGGCAGGTCAGGAGCTGAGTTTTCAACACCAGGGTTAGAAGAAGAGCCTGGTAGTTCATCAAAAGGAGTTCCCTAAGGTAAGAGAGGAGAAGTCTCTGGGAGGCTAGAAGCAGTGACCTCAACTCTAGTTGTTGGCGAAGTCAGAATAAGAGCCTCATTCACAAGGTCAGCAGAGAAGGGTGTAATAGCAAGGACATCAAAAGGAACGATAGGGAGCACGGCAGTCGTCGGAACAACAGGTGTTTCAGAAGGGGGAGCTGTAGAAACAACTGAATGAGAAAGAACACCTTGAACCAAGATCTCAGCAGGTGGAGTATGGGTCGTGGCACCACCAGAAGTAAGCTTAGAAACAGAAGGAGCCAGAGTTCCACCTGTATCCTCTGCATCGATCTCCTGCGCCTCCTCTTGGGGTGGAATCTCAAAGTCAAAGTTCAGATCAGAGTAAGCTTCTTCAACCCGGTCCTGAAAAGCGAGCCATCCAAATGCCCACTTAGCCGTAACGTCATCCATCAGTTGGGCGATTAGGTCATCCTTCTCCTTGACTACGGATCTCTACACCTCGAGCTCATTTCGAAGAGTATCACTCATCTCATCCAAGATGTCATATTCTTTTTTCATACTCCTATAAGAGTCTAGAGCCTCAAACGTCTCCCAGTTGGCCCTAGGCATCAGTCTTGAACCTCAGTCCTTGAACCTGAGCTCCTCCTTAATCTTCTCCTTGTGCCTGAAGATCTTGAATTTGGGTTTGGAGGTCGTTATTAGTGAAAGACAATTCGATGGCTTTGACCTCAAAATCCTTTGACGCTTTAGCAGAGCTCTCCAGGTCTCAAATACGACTCAACAAACTCTTCACATGAATGACTAGCTAAAATCAAATACAACCAGAGATGAAAGTCAGCATAAAATGGTAGATCTAAAGGGAGATTGAGACCTAAAGAGGAAAGGATCTTATAGCAGCAGCCCTATGGAGTGCAAAACTAATGGAATTTTCAAGAGGCATAATAATAGCCCTCCGAATATCGGTAGTAAGGATGATGAAGTCGAGGGCACCGACAGCGAGCTCAATTTTGTTAAAAAAAGAGCCATCATCTTTCTCTTCCTTGATGTACTTCCCTTTCTCAGCCTTGGGGCTCACTTGAGATGGTTTCAAAAATTTCTCAGATGGTCCAAAAGAGGTAAGAGCAGGTTGAACATAAGAAATCATCTCCAAAGCCCTCTCGACCTCGACAGAATAAGGAAAGGTCGGGTCTTGTTCAGAAATATTCTTGATAACGGGTGGAAACTCTAGGAGAGAAAAGGTCCCCACAGCTTGCAAGGAGCCTAATGGAGGAGTAAGAGCCACTTGAGTTGAAGCTGGAGTAGAAGGGAGCAACCCCAACCTTGGCTTGAGGTACGATGTCTCTACCAGAACCGACCTCAGCTCTGCACTTGCTTCCACTCCTATTTTTTTTCAAAAGAGCAACCTTGGCTTGAAGTGCTTCTTGAGTAGACTTCATTGAAGAAGAACCTGGAAACATAGTATAAGCCAAAGAAAAAGAAAATGGAAAAGAACAAGAAGGGAGAGCTGAAAGCCAGAAACAGGCAGAGAAAGCGTTACCTGATACCTCCTCCGCACTAGCAACAGAGATGGGAATAGGGGCCTCGATCCTCACCTCAGGAAGGCTGAATCCAAGCTCTACTAGAACCTGAGGCTTGATGAGCTTAGAATGTTTCTCCGAATCGCAATCCATTAAGCTTATTAAAACTCACTTATCAACAGAGCTTAACTCAAGTCGAACACCTGAAGAATAGAGTGATGCAAGCAAAGTAAGCAAGGTAGGCCATCAAAATTGATCCTAGTTTGCTCAAGCGAAGACTTACCTAGGTTGTCGGGGGTAGACCAATCCCTAGGAATGAGAAAAGTGTCTGTCATATTTGCCAGATTGTACTCCCATGATCTGCCCCCCACAAAGAATAAAAGTTTTTTCCAACCCTTATGGAAGCTTGGGAGATCAGAGATGATAACCTTAGTTTTCACTCGTTTGGAGATGTACAAGAAGGCATCAGAAGGGGTATATTTAACATTAAAAAACTTCATAAGCAAAGGAACGGAGGGAACCCTCAGCTCATGTTTCTTGAAGAAAACAAGAAGACCCACCAATATGCCCCAAAAGTTAGGAAAAAATTGAGCAGGGCAGACGTTAAAGTGCTGAAGAACACTCTTGATGAAGGGATGAATTGGAAAGTAGAGGCCATTCTCAAAGGCGGCCATGAAAAAACAGATTTTCTTAGGGACTGAAGAGTCATATCGGGTATACATATCTGGACACCAGTATTCTACACCCAAAGGGAAACCAAAGCAAGCAGCCAGAACCTTCATATAAGAAGGAGTGATGTCACTAAAGCCTACGAGCTCTACAGCTTTGGAGACAGACCCTGTACCCTCACCACTACCAGAGACCCCTACGTCGTTCACATTGGCTTTACCTTTGCTAGGATTCTTAGACATTAGGGAGGACGAAGAGGAGACTCCTCAACATTTTCCTTGATGTCGACAAAATCAACACCGGGAAAGTTACAAATCTTGTCTCCCACATCTCGTAAATTAGTATCCTCTGCTTCGGGAAACCTGTCTCCTATAAGGGAAATAGACGAGTCGGTGGCTTCGGAAGAAGCAGACATAGTTGGGCAAGAGTAGGGAAGTTTAAAAGATTTATAGAGTGGAGGAATCTTTGAGGGTTAAAGAATCAAGACACCAGTGACCGATGACAAAGATCCTAGCAGTGGAATAAGGGTCCAAAAAGAGGGGAATGCGAGACAAGGAGCGACCTCGGTTCCTAAAATAACAAAATCGAAAAGTCCAAAAACGCAAAAATCACCTCATATTCGAGGGATCCAGAATAAAGAGGAGAACAGAGAGCAAGAAGCGTACCTACGTAAGGATGAACGATGGGCCAAAGCTTAAGATGAAGGCGAGGAGCAAATTTTGTTGAAACCTCAGTTGAATCAAGGGGAATCGATTTCCTGCGAAACCCTAAGGAACACCAGCGAGTTGGGAAAATTGAAATCGCAAGAAGAGGAAAAGGGAAAAGCTAGAGAGAGAATTCAAAGGATGAAATGAGCCATTTCCATTAGTGCAAGGACATTTAAAGCCTTCATATGTGGGGCTTCAAAGTGGAGAACGTGCACAAAAAACGAGAAAAAAAAATAATTACCTGTAACCGTCAAGAAAACTTGTTCGCACGTATATCGAGGCCACCAGATGGAGGTCTATTTCCGCCAGCCTTAGTTCAGCCCTTGCCCAAGTCCACTTGAACCAATGGCTAGGGGGAGTAGCTGATGATACATGAAAAAAATCTTGACTAAGTGCGAGCTTAGGAAGTAAGGTCAGATAAGGAGGTCGGATAATGAACCCAAAGCTCATAGGCTCAGACCTCGAGCTTGACTCGGAGGAAACATTAGAGAAGATGAAAAGGGGACAACTGGCTAATAGGAGACATCCCCGAAGCAATAGAGGGCAGTAATTAAGGCACAAAATTTTCAACCACCCAAGATCCTCTGCCAAGATCGAGGGAGATCCCGCCAATGAAGGGTTGAGATCCCGCTCCAGCTTCTTTAGGAATAAGAATTAGGCTATAAATATCGAAAAGGGCTTCCATGGGAAAAGGGCCTGGTTGTATGAAAAAACACTCTGTAATTATCACGCACCATTAATATAGAACCAAGGAGTAAGAAACTCCCTTTAAGAGTGGATTAGTCGAACTCCCGATCTCGGTGAACCAGTATACTTCCGTTGTGCAAATTATCCCGGTTCCCCAAAGACCTTTCCATAATCCTTGCGAGCCTTGTAACTCAAATTCAAATTCACTTATATGATTCTTATTTTCTGTTCATCTGCCTAATTACACCATCAAATTTAAAATCAATGACTAAGATTAATAGAAGTACAATGCGAACTTCGATGTCAGGTTGTTGATTTGTCATGCTCTCATCAAAGTCGAGAGCATAAATCAAGGGAGAGTAGCCTCATCTAGCCTAGAACTCATTGATAGTACAAAGTTAGATGAGATAGGTCACACCCTACAATCCTGGTATACAATTAATTCAACTTGAGTGATTAGTGATGCATGCATTGAATCAAGGTGCGGCGCAAAATACTTATATGTCTTTTACAACAAAATTATCAAAGGGTGAGATTGATAGGCCTATGACCTCAGGATTAAAATTTCATTAGTTGTACTCTAACTTGGTAATGTATTAAAAAGCATGTTAATATCACACGACAAGCAAATACCAGCCTAGGAGACTTGAACACCTTTTTAATGGCAAAATTTGAAGATTTTACTGCAACAACAAGTACTAAAAAGGATCAACAAACCGATCACAAAACCAAACACAACCTTAGGAAGTACCTCATAACAATTTCACGGTACACAATTTGGTTTTCAACCCTTTGCAGCGACCTCTTTATTTACGCTCATGGGCTTCCTGCAAAACATTTATCCAATTATCATAATCGAAAATTAAGAATAATACTTAGAACAGCAGCAAGAAATAGGACACGAGTATTTTGATTTTTCATTAATAATTTGGTTAGGAAACTACACTTCCCCTAGATTCGTTTCGATTTCCACCGAAACCAAAACATTTTGACTGTTTTGGTGGAAATGAAATGAAATTGTCCTCTTTATTCATTTATTATCATTTATCACAAAGTAGATGTGAAAGAAAAAGAATAATGTTAGATCGAAAAATCTATAATTTTGTACCTTTATCTTTCGGTTGTCCTGTAGACATTAGAAATTGAATTTTAATTTTTCGGAGTCTGGCCAAGGCATCCTTCATGTTGATCCTCTCATCAGGTAAATCACTTGAACAATCCATGGCCAACCTTAACAGGGATGATACACAATGCTCCTTCGCGGAGTAAAGTTCAGACTCTTCTCCCATCAGATTGGTGTCTACTACTTCAACTATTGAACCGTGAAGTGCTTTATCAACCCAACTCTTCAAGCTCAATTCTCCAGCAAACATTTCCTCGGTCGGCTTCTTCCCCGTGAACATTTCCATCAGCATAATACCATAGCTGTACACGTCGCCCTTTGTAGATATTATTCCTTCCCTTCCATATTCTATACATGACATTAGTAGTCACTATGGTACCAACAATGAAAGGACTTCAACTAGGGGTGGCGATTTCTAACATGACACGTTAATTCAACACAAAATTGACGGGTTAGTGGTTAGGGTTGATTGGTCATATACAGGAACTTGAATATCACACGATGCACACTAACATGGACAATAAGTGGGTTAGATTAGTGTTGGAACACACCCGAGTTCGATATGACAAACCTATTTAACATGCATAGTATGTAGAAGATGTATGATTTTTCTATTTTTTCTGTTTCTTGAGTAGGAATTGTATAAATCCCTGTTTAAAGGAGTTTTTTTCACTTAATTTTTCTAGCAACATTATTTAATAAATAATTACCTTAGGACAACATATGGGTGGTGAATTTGGTTGAGAGAAAAATGGGCCGACTCATGGGTTTTTGGTTACAAGTGACACTTGTCAACTTGAACACGACACAATTAATAAACACATCAAACTAATGTGAAGGCATCATCTACCACGTTTAATTAAATAGAATGGATTGAAGTTGACCCCTACCCAATTTGACATACCAAATACACAATTTATAAAATTACAAAAATTAGAACATCAATTTGGATGCTAGTATGGATCATTACCTGGTGCCATGTACCCAATTGTTGCCAAGGTCATAGTCTGTGCCATAAACTCCTCCTCTCCAAAGAGTTTAGCAACACCGAAATCTCCAATATGTGCAACCATATCCTCATCAAGTAGCACATTGTTGGGCTTCAAATCACAATGAGCAATGGGTGTTGTAAGATCATGATGCAGATATTCCAACGCTGATGCCACATCTATCATTATATTTAACCTTTGAATGATATCCAAGTAATGGTCATGGGAGTATAACCATTTGTCAAGGCTCCCATTAGGCATGTATTCTAGTACCAAGGCTTTGAAATCCATGTTGGAACAACTACTTATTACTCTAATTAGATTCCTATGCCGAATGTTGCGCATGGCTTCACATTCAACATCAAAACTCTTGAATGCTCCTTCTATATGCAAATTAAAAACTTTTACTGCTATCTTAACTTCATCTGAAATTGTTCCTTTATATACTGTGCCAAAACCCCCAGTACCAAGAAGGTTGCTGTCACTAAATGCATCTGTTGCCTGTAGAAGTTCGTAGTACGATATTGTTCTCCATGGAAAAGGTAATGAATCGGAGTGGGCGGGTAAATTCTTACTCGGTTTTTTCCATCTAAGTAACATGTATATAAGGGCCACTGCAAGGATTGCTGATGTGGTGGGTAGCAAAATGTATAGCAGTAGAGGCATAACTTTGGACCTTGCTTGTCCAAGAGAGCCATTTCTGCATGGCGGGACTTGCAATCGATGTGCACCACATAGTGCATCATTTTGCATGAATGATTGAGCTGTAAAGTTTGCAAAATGTCCTCCCTCAGGAATTTCTCCTCGCAGCCTATTGAATGACAAGTTTAAGTATTCAAGATACCTTAGAGCCTCCAAGGACTTGGGAATCACTCCAGACAGATTGTTATTCGATAGATCTAAAAACTCTAAATTTATTAAGGAGCCGAATGACTTAGGAATAGGTCCTTGAATGTTGTTACCCGCCAGGGATAGAGAAACTAATGATTGAGCACCTCCAATGGAGCTCGGGATGTCGCCTGACAACTTATTCCATGACAAGTCTATTTGTGCTATGACCCTCAATTTGCCAATATCTGATGGTATGTAGCCACTTAAAAAATTTGAAGAGAGATTGAGACCAAGCAGATCTCTAAGGCTCCACAAGTTTAAGGGCACTGTGGAATTCAAACTGTTGGAATCTAGGAAGACACTTGCTAGGGATTTAAGTTCACCCAAGCATGCTGGTATGGGTCCATTGAGCATATTGTCACTTAAGTATATGTGTCCCAAGCTCTTCACCTGGCAAAGATTTGTGGGGATGAATCCTTGTAGTCTATTATGCTCAAGATATAACCGTGTGAGATGTTTCAATCTCCCGAGTTCTCTCGGGATGAATCCTGTCAACTCATTGCTATCTAAGCTTAATCTCTCCAAGCTACTCAAGTTTCCAATTCCACTAGGAATATCCCCTTTAAGTTTACATCCAAATGCCCCCAAATATACAAGAGAAGTAGAGAGATTCCCCAGTGACATCGGGAGGATGCCGTTTAGCTGATTGATTGACAATTCCAACATCTTCAAGTTTCTGCAATTTGTTAAAGAAGAGAAAAATCGCAATTCTATAGTGGAGGATTCCCTTGTCAGATTATTTTCCCCCAAAATAAGATAGGACAGGAGTCTTAAATTGCCAAGATCAGGAATAACGCCGGTGAGTGAGTTGGCACTCATGCCCAAGAGGGTAAGCTTAGAAGCATTCGAGATGGAGCTTGGGATTATTCCGGTGAGCTTGTTGTTGTCAACTATAAGACTTTCAAGATTGGGAAGCCAAAGCCCCATGCTCAATGGAAGATAACCAGAAAAGTCATTGTTACTCAGCACCAGTGATTTAAGAGTTGAACTATTGAATATTTTGGTTGGAATAAGGCCAGTGAAGCTGTTCTCACGGATGACAAAACTCACCAGATTAAGATTACCAATCTCATCAGGTAATTCACCTGCCACAATATGAACAACCATGCATTAATCAAGCTTTAGCATGCTTGCAGAAAGGGGTGAATAGGTTTATCAATTAAGTGTGTGAACCCTTTTTACCAATCAAGAACAACTCGCCATGTTAATGGATGCAATGATATGTCAATTAATTGCTCAACAACCCAATTCACATCAATGATGATCCCTCTAACATAACTAATTCTCACAAAACCCAATATGATGAATGTTCAAGTTAGATAATTCAATGTGACATTTGATCAAACTTCGTGAGTGCAATTGTGAGTGTGTGTGTGTGTATGGCGCGTGTGTGTGTGTGTGTGTGTGTGTAAGTGTGTACAATCAAGCAACAAGAAGCATCCACAACACAAACAATTTATTGATGTGAAAACCCTCCTTGGGAAAAACAATAGCACCAATACCCAGTTCACCTAAAGTCTAATCCATTACTCCAAAGTCAATTTATAAGTACTTGAATCTTATACCTCAACCAGTACTCATGGTTAGATGCTCATTTTTGTTGTAAATCTATCCTTTGAATTCGTCCACCAAAGTCTTCAGTAGTTTCACTTGGACACACTCACCACAAGGAACAATCTTGGCCTTGAGCAATCTTCTCTCCTAAGATCCTAGGTATGTACAACTAAAGTGGGTTTTGTGAAACTAAAAATAAGATCTCCTTCATCAATGGGTGAGGTTGAATTGGAGAATAAGTTGGTTTTGGCCTTTTTGTATTTAGGGATCTAGGGTTGACCTTGGCTCTCTAGATGTTGTAGAGGCAGTATTTTAGAGTATTAGAGAGTTATCCTAACTTGTGAAGACTACCCTATTTATAGGTCCAAAAGTAGGTTTGTATTGGAATCCAAGTAAACACAAATTCCCAAACTACCACTTGAGCCATTAGAGAGTTGTGGGAGGACGATTGTCACTAGAATGAGAAAATGGTTCAAACCAAATCTATGGAGCAAAGACCACTTGAGGCGTCCCAGGATGCTCGAGCAGCCAAAGGGCGGTCACTATTGCCCAGCTCGTCAGCCTTCTCTAATTTTTTCCTAAGTGTTTAGAGATTGCTCTAGCTGAAGACAAGAAAGCATAAGATGGTCCCTACTAGTTTTTAAGCTAGAAACCAAATAGAAACTTGACATATTGAACACTAAGTAGTCTTGCTCAAATAGAATTTGATTCATGACTCATTCTATCTTTCAAAACACATTTAAGATTTAGGTAGAAAGTGGAACGAACCAATAGCAAAAAATTAAAATTAATTGTTTTAGGTTGTGCCGGCCAATGATGTAGAATCAAATTTCAATTTTTTTTCTTGCTTCAATTCTGATTCTGAAACATATTCCAATGTTTTCTAATCCCAAGCTGACCAAAACTCATCATTGATGAAAGTTTAATCCTTGTGGATAATATACAAGAAAGATTGTTATAAAAATAAGGGCGACAAAGATTCTAATGTACCTGTGAAGTTGTTGATATTTAGATACAGACGTTTGAGCAAAGTGAGGTTTCCAACTTTGTTAGATATTCCACCTGTGAAATTATTATCTGACAAAGATAAGATTTGAAGCCCTCTGCTTTCCCATAAGACTGATGGGATGGGGCCACTGAGCTGATTGGAGGAAAGCAATAGGTTTTGAAGAAGAGGTACATTAGAATGAATATCCATTGGAAGGCTTCCGGACAAGCTATTATTTGAGAAATCAACCTCTATCAAAGAAGAAATATTGAAGATGGCTGATGGAATGAACCCTGTTAGAGAACCACTTATTATGCTCAGTATCTCCAAATGTGCAAGATTAGCTATCTCCTTTGGAATTCTACCTGCATGGTGCCAAGCAAATTTTCAATTGGATTATTCTAATTTGTGAACAATTAGATAGGGATGTCAATTTTACATATTAACAAAAACATGATACAAATATGACACGATCACAAAAATAACACGAGTAATTAACACAAATGATAAATGCGCTCGGATAAATGTTGAACACAAGTAACTCATTTATTGGTATTGTATGCTTATTTTATTTTTCAATTTCTTGAACTAATATTGTACAAGTTATTTTAGAATTAAACGATTTTATTAACACGAACATAATGCCAACATAGAATGAAACCAGAATGAAATGACACGACTATGAAAAGTTGCGAACATAGGAGTGTAGACACACTTTGCTTAGTTCGGACAATTGTCCCCACTCAATTTTTTGGTGCAAATTTTTTTTATACATGTTCCAATACAAAATTTAAATTTGTCCCCTCAGAAAAGTTTAAATGTGTTTTGATCTAATTAATCATCTCACATTTATAATAAATCTTGAAACTCACGATTAGGTTGCCTGGCTAATATATCATTAGTTGAATTGCATCATCATACTTTCAAAATATCATCCCAAACTTTTTATTCTCTTTCCTTGTATATCGTCCCCTCTTTCTCGCCATTGTTAATTTGAATATTCAGAAAAACATAATTAATAACACTGATATTAAAATTATTATCCAATAGTTTCAAAGCATGAAACTAGTCAAGAACAAGGTTTTTTTAAAATTTCGATCCTATATTAGATCGGTAGAGATTGATAAAGGATCTAAATTGTAGGATCAGATCGAGAATTGTAATATTCTACGAATTGAAAAGTTGAGGAGGAAAATATATGCAACAATATAGAATTCTTAAAACATGAATAAAACAAGCCTGGTATATGAGATATGATTAAAATTTCAGAAATTACAATTTGAGCAAAGCAGACTGAAAATTAAAGGCGAACTATTTATCTAGTGGGGTTGGTAAACAGAAATAGTAAAATTGAAATATTTTTATCTTAAAATTCAGAGAGAGAAAGATATAAAGGAAAGACCGGAAAGTTGAGAAACTATTGAATAATCAATTTTAAATGTTCGATACCCAAAAAAAAATTGAAAATTGAAAATGGAAAACTATCTGACTGTAACCACTCACAAAGAAAAGAGATCAAACCTAACTGTTGTTTTCAATTTCAACGAGAGAGACAAACAAATGAAGAGAGTTTTCTGTAACAAAAAAGAACTTTCTATATCTTTTCTTATCCATAGAAATCCTTCAATCGACTGTCAATTATACGAGACAATTACATTTAGATAGAGTCTATTAATATTAAAACTATAAATACACAATAAATACGAGTTTGGTCAGCTCGAAAACTAAATGCACCTAATAAACAAGCCCAACAACTGGGATTGATAAAATCATAATTTGAATTGTAATCTTACGATTCTATAAGAGTCAGATCACAATCCATTAAGATTCTACTAAACAATCGATTTACATGTATGGATCGGAGGATCATAAGATCCTATGATCCGGATTGGAATTTTGATAATTATGGTTGAGAACCATTGTAAACATATTGATTAGAAGTATTATTGATTGATATTTCAGTTATCATTCAGTAATGTTTTTTTTTGGGTAACTCTTTTAAAGTAAAAAAGCAATTTCATTGTAAAAGTAAAAATACACTTTATCACAATAACACAAATTGAATTATATGGATCGTAATATATGACCAATATATTTATATATGCGCAAACGTATACTACTATACATGTGATTAAACGTTAAAATAGGGTAAGTCAAGATAAGAAAAAGTAAAAAAGTAAACATTCAAACACAAAATGTACCAAAAAAGTATTTAAAGTGTTACAAAATTGTAAGTATATGAAGAACGTTATAAATTCTTATGGGACCTTTTTTTGTATTTATTGATTCAATTTTTCAACTTCATTTATTGTTAAAATTTGCCCCCACTTGAGAAATTTTCTAGCTCCACCCCTAAACGAACATAGCACGACATGAACATGAGACAACTGACACTCTTATTTGTAATGTATGTAATCTAACATCACACAAATTGCAAGTAAGTGGAGTAGTAATCTCAGGAGATTTAAAATAATTATCAGTTATGAAAATTGTGGATTATTAAGTTCATTGTCTACTTTCATTACCAAACACTTTCAAAGCGAATGATTGATCCATCCTATAGTTATTTTTGGATTCTGACTAATATTCTGGGATATGGTAGCATTGATAATTTTAGTTAATCTTTTCTAGAGTAAAAATAAACAAGAAACATGTATGTTCATCAGTTTTCATTTATAAAAAGATAGTTAAGCGTACAGTACATGAAAAAAAATTATATAGTATAAGGAGAATATGAAATGTTTATCCATGTTTCATACCTGTCAAGCTGTTACTCCCCAGATATAACTCTTTCAGCACAGTCAAGTTTCCGATTTCTATAGGTATTCCACCATAGAACCCATTGAAGGACAAAGAGAGACGTTGAAGCTCCCTACACTTGTATATATTCGATGGAATTAGGCCGTCGAGACGATTTTGAGAGAGATGGAGTCCTTCTAGTTTAATAAGATGATTGCAAATATCAACTGGCAGATTACCAGATAAGCTATTAGCTGTGAGATCAATTGCTTGCAAAGCAGACATGTTGAATATTGTTGATGGTATTGAACCTGTCAGTTGGTTATACCTCAAGTTTAATAACTCCAAGTTGGACAAATTACCAATTTCAACTGGAATATTTCCCTGTAAAACATTATGCACAATATTCAATTTCTCTAGCTTTGAGATGTTGCATACATAAAGTGAAGTGGTGCCTTTTTATGGGAATGACTAGCTTGGTACCATAACGAAATTCATAACTAAATAGGTGTTAACTACAACTCACTTGAGGTCAAATTATAATTCAAAAAGGTCAATTACAACTCGGAATAGAGTCAGAATTTTATCCTTAAGGGGCCAAATCTGATGTAGAGAAACTTAGACCAACAACATTTATGTTTTATAGATTTAAGTTTCAATGCAAAAAAATATATCTTAGCGGAATTATAATCAATATAAACAAAGATAAAGGATGATCTAGTGTACGAGGCTCATCATTGCAGAGCTTGGGAGGGTCAGATATATACAATTTTACCTTCGCATGTAGAGAGGCTATTTCCGTTT